CCCAGGCAACATGGTGAAACCCTGTCTCTACTAAAGTACAAAAAATTAGCCAGGCATGGTGACACATGCCTGTAGTCCCAGCTACTCAAGAGGCTGAGGCACAAGAATTGCTTGAAACCAGGAGGTGGAGGTTGCAGTGAGTCAAGATTGTACCACTGCCCACTCCAGACTGGGCAACAGTGAAACTGTCTTCAGAAAAAAAAAAAAAAAAGAATCCATCACATCTGGGATACTATTCTTGAAACCCCAGGAGGCCCTTTGAAAAGATGCTGTGTCATTTGTGCAGTGCTTGAGTCTACTCTGAGTCTATTTCCATGTCTAGTTCATGCTACCTAATTCTTTGTTCTTGTCATCTGTCACCTCATTCTTTCTCCAGTTTCACTTATCTCAGTCTTTAGTTTCCCTCACTCTGCTTCCCACATTTCTCTCTAACTTTTCCAACAAAACCTCCAAAACGTGATTCCTCTTTCCTTGGCATTATTGTATGTTAGAAGGTCTGGCAGGAGTGTTTTCACAGCCTTGGTCAGGCCAAGGTTTGGGGAGTCCTCACCTTTGCTAATTTGATTCTTTTTGGGACCAGGGTGGACAATGGGGGAGGGCAGAACCTTTTCTCCTGTGAGATTGGGCAAGGAATGAATGAATAAATACACAATGGCAGCACAGAAGGGCCCAGAGCATAGCTGAACATACTGAATCTGAACTTGAAATCTAAGAAGTCAAACATTTGCATTGTATAGAGATGCCCCATGGAGTAGGAGAGAGACTTTAATCAGACAAGGACAGACACTTACTGAGCCAGGTAACATAGAATCATCAGATTGAGTCAAGTTCAACATGAAAATCTTTAGGAGCTTAAAAATGCTTTATTTGAATAATGGTCCTAAATTTGCACTTCAGATCACTCTGATTCAAAGTATTTGCTTGTGTAGGAGGTAGAACTTGCCAGCATACAGATATTGCTGTTTCCTTGGCAAAGGCATTAGAATAGTAAAAAGTCTCCCAAAACTTTTCAAATATTTATGGGATTCAAATTTTCCCATGCTGCCCGTAGATATTTATTACATACATGTTTATCCAGTAAAATATTTATGACAGGAATGATTGTATCCGTTGTTGATTTGCTTGGCTTTCAATGTGGATTCCACAAGGGGAGGCTAAGGATATTAACATGGGAACAAGGTTAGAATTGTAATCGCTTGTCACAGATAGATAGGTTGAAACCCAAGATGGAAGCTGCTGTCGGAAGAGTAAGTGCTGAGATTTGGAATAGTCCCTGGACAGGGCTGTGAGAGCTAGGATTTGCTTCTCTTGATACATGACTGCTATGGAAAGTGTAGTAATCTCCATTTTCACTCCTCTGGGAGAGCTAAAGTAGGTATAAACACTGTTTAATAAAGGGTGTTGGGCACTTTCTGGAATTTGTCATAAAAGTACCTAATCTGTCCACGTGCCTTGCAGTTTTAAAAGTCGAATACATTGACACCTCTTTCTAATACTGTTGCTGGAGGGCAGGGAGACTCATACTCTTGTTACAGGCCCTTCTTTTATATTTTTTTCTACCATAAGTGGCCACTTTTGCTTTGGGATAAAGCTCTTTTATAATGGACTCATCTCTGTATTTTAAATAGCTAGAGAGAATTTCAGCACATATAATCCTGGTTTAGTTCCAAATGAAGAATTAAAAGTTCACTAAAACAAGTATAACTTTATCGATAGTATAAAAACATCCTGGAAATCTAGGGTATACCTAATATTATTTTGGTGCTGTTCTGAAGATGGTTTATAAAATCTAGCCTTCAAAGCAGGATATTTCATGTTTTAATTCATCTATGATACTGCTTGGTGAAGTTGATAGTATTTATACAGTAAAATAAAATTATTTCTTATTTGAAAGGAATGTTCCAGTTGGATGTGATTTCCTTGATACCAGCACGTAATTCCTATATAAACCAAAAACTAAAAGTTCACTGTCAGGCAGGTCCTGGGTTTCATTCCCAGTATCTCCACCTGCTGCCTGAGTGACCTTAGACATATTACCTACATTTTCTATACCCCAGTGTCTTCATTTGTAAACTGGGGCCATAATTACACCTATTTTATTGAGTGGTGAGAGTTAAATGAAGTAATACATGTGGTAATGGACTTAGCACAGTGCTTGGCACATTTAAATGATCATTGAATGATGGTGGTTCATAGATTAAGATAAATAACAAATGAGGAAAATTCAGCAAGCTCAATTCGACATTTGCATGTTAAATGTTAATTTTACCATGCTTAAAATTATACTTCAACCCAAAAAAGAGTTTCACAGACATACAGATGAGGAAAAAAATAGCAAATAAAGGATAGGAATAAAAATAATAAAGGAATTCTGTGTATTGGGTGATTATCTCATGAAATCATGACAGCAGCAGAAAAATAAAAATAGTTTGAAAATGGAATCTGATCTGCTTAGAAAACTCTGGCTACCAACAACACACAAGAACTCTAAAGAGGAACCTCTGTACAATTCAATAATTATAATCACTTTGATTACAAGGAGACATTGTTTTTAGTATCCTGATTATGATTTCCCCATGGCCTGAACAACCTGGTGATTTCTGAGAGTCTCCATAAAATTAATTGCAATGAGCAACATGAAGTTTGCTAAAAGACCAATACAGGAGTTTATGAAAGTTCTGGAGAGTCACAGTGATGGCTATACAGCTTGTTTGTCCTATTTAGTGACACAGTGAGCATACTTTATGAAATATCACTGATTCATCACCTTGGTTCTGCTGGTTAACTGCCCTCAAATGGGAGTTATATGAAGGAGCTAGCGTTCCTCCAAAAGCTATGAAAATAATTTTCTGTTATAATAGCAGTCATTAAAATATACCAACAATATGCTTTTAACATTATGACAATAATAAATACATGGTACCAAAAATATGCTTATCACTTCTGAGCAGTTTTTGTGTGCCAGGGACTATTCCAAACAATCTTCTTGGATCATCTTTACCCCAATTTCCTTAGATAATTCTCTTATTCCCAACGTGCAGACGAGAAAACTGAGGCACTGAGAATTTGAGTAACTTTGCTTAAGTCCCATCCAGGAAATCGAAGAGCCTAGAATGCAAAGTCAGATAAGACAGTCTGATTCCAGAATCTGACCTAGTCACCATTGTGCTAAACTGTCTCCCAGCAAGCCTGAGAAACACCACCTCCCCAGCTTGGACAGTCATAGGCTTATTGGTGTAGTAAAGACTCAGAGGAGTGCATAGGAAATGATTGGTAAAACAGATTGTGGGAAACATTGTCTCAAAACATGAATGGGATTCACCTAACAATTCACTTGACTGAGTTATTTTCTTCTTCTTCTTGTGCCTTAGCATAATGGGCTTTTATGGCTGCAGTATATTAACTGTTGAAATCGTATTTCAACTTTCTCATTTTGCAGAGAGTTTAACTTATACAAGGTCTCATAGTAATAAAATTAGTAGCCATAATAAATGTGTACTGAGTGCTTATTGTATGTCAGGCACAGAGCTTAAACATTGCATATACTTTTATCCATGAGAAGGGAATTATGGTCATCACCCCCTTTTAACAGATAAGAAAAATAAGGCACACAGCTAATGAGTAGGGAAAAAAAAGTTGATTTGATCCCAGGTCTGAATCTCAAGCCCATGCTTTTAACCACTATGTATCATGAAAATAAAATAACAGGAAGCCAGACCAAAGCTGAGTAAGATCCTTGGGAAATGTAAATGGAAGATAGACCACAGATAGTTGGGATTTGTGGGATGTCTTTTGTTCCAGAACTGCAGTGGAAAGATACATATTCCAGGTATCTCAGTTTGGAATAGTTAACATATTTTCCCATATAATAGTTAAATCTGATGGGAAGATACATGTATTCAGCAAACATGAAAGTGCCTACTATAAGCCATAGGTCTCCTGGTAACTTCTAGGCTTAATGGTTCACTGAATTAAATGGGCATGCACAGGTGAATCTTATAATGGAACCTAACACCACATTTAGCATTTTCTTTATTAGAAAATGTATGGCAAGTTTCAGTCAACCTACAATTAAATATTAAAAATACAACTTGCTCATAGTTGGTTGCTACTTGCCTTGATCTTAATGAAGAAATTATTAGTAAAGAATATATAGCTATCACTATAGGAATGATTATATTTTAGTAGTGCATGTTCGTGTGCAGTCTGTAGTTGCACTTAAGAGAGTTTTTGGATTCAAAATCTCCAAACTTCTGGAGATAATGAAGTTGCTTGTGAATGTGATTAGTGGAGAAGAAGGTCAACTTATATAGGGATATAATCATATTCATTTCATGGAGGTGGCTTCATGATTTGTATAACTTATATTTACAAACTCTGGCTCTGACTAATGCAGATTTTAAAATTGACTTTTCATGAGTGATACCAAACAAGATCTGTCAAGAGTTCCATTATTTTCAGTTGTGCTTTATTAAAAGCAATGGGAAAGAAAGTAGATATTATGTGTGTGTTTAACAAGATGTTAGTACACTTCTGATTTTAATATTCACTTGAGGAAATCAAGCAGACCCACTAAATATTGCTGATAAATTGCAGGAAACGTTGGCAGAGACATTTATTATCAGCCTTTAAAGTTCTGGGAGAGAATTGTGCTGTGGTGCAGCACTTTGATGGGATTGCCTTTTTGCAGTGGCAGGGGAGGAGTGAGAAACACCTACCTTGGCTAGAATTTTAGAGCAGTGTTTTCTTTGGCAAACTGCGTTTTATTTGTGGAGGTGTCTGTTTGGGAGGAGGGTCATGGGGACATGCATGACCCACATCAGAGAAGATCTTAAAATGGTTTATAAACTCCTAATTGTCTAGAAATTCAAGTCAGACTGTTTGAAATGGGGACAGAGAAGTCACACTTGTTATTCAGATACAGGGCTTCTGCACACCTCCTGGCTGGAGGATGTCTTCTCTGGAGCCTTCATTTCTTTATGCTCTGTCCCTCTTTGCAGAGTCCTCGAATGCCACCTTGCTGACCAATGCAGAGAAGATCGCCACCATCACCACCACACACACCCCTTCTCAGCAAGGGACCCAGGAGACAAGGTCAGACATGGCTTTGGTTTCCTTTGTTAAAGGGGAAAAAAGTAACTCCCAGCATAACAATATATGTCCTTGATTCTTTCTCAGTTTCCTAATGGGTTGCTCTTGTATTTATTTCTCTCACTTCGGCAGGAATACCACCAAACCAAAGCAGGAATCTCAGTTTGAGTTCAAAGCACCCCAGGCAACACAGGTGAGCACCATTTCTCTTTTTTCTCTATACTTTGCACATTTCCTTCCAACTTTCTCAAGCTATTTTTATGGGATATTTTTTGAAGCACCTTTAATTTAAAAGAAATAACCTTTTGTGAGGTGATTTACCAAATATATACTTACATTTGATTTTCTAGGAAATAACATTTTATTTTGCTACCTTGAAATATTCCTAGATAGCCTTTTCTAGGGGAAAAAAAAATGAAAAGCAGTAATTGTCACAAGGATCGGCAGCTAGAGAAAGCAAAGCAGCCAATATCTACTCATAGTTTTCATAAACATGCTTCTGCCCAGAAAATGTCTTTTTGATAAGGTGTTTTTCAGGCTTGGGAATTTAAGGTGAGATCTGTAGAGCAAAATACCTGTCCTCAGGATGGCAAGGGAGAGTGTGAAAATAATAGCAGGTAAAACAAATTTGAGGAACTTTGGGTGATGCAAAATTAAACAGATTCCCTTTTTTTGTTTTGTTTTGTTTTTTAATTAAGAGACAGGGGTCTCACTATGCTGCTCAGGCTGGACTGAAACTCCTGGGCTCAAGCAGTCCTCCTGTCTCAGCCTCCTGAGTAGCTGGTATTACAAGTGCCCAACTGGGTTCCTTCTTTACTGGTTGCCTGGGGGCTTTCGGTTGGCCCTTTGTAATTTTCCTTGACTGGGATTTGGAGAGGTTTTGTTGGTATCCTCATGATGGGCACAGTCTGCATTTATTGGACACAGGTCAGGGAGGCTGGGCATCCAGCAGCCAGGTGACTGGTATCATGTAATGAGGAATTGTCCTTCCCCAAATGCAAATCATGGCCTCACTGATTAAATTTTAATCCACATATGTTACATTAAATACACACATGCATTTGGACATGCTCATAAATGTTTTCAAATTCTGGATCTCTGACTTCTGAGATTAATGAGGATGAATCAAGATGATTAATAAACAGGAGTCACCAAGATGGGGATAGAGGTTGTGCCTTTTTGCCAAGAATGTTTAGGAAGACTCCTATGGATATTAATTCTCCTAGAATGATTGCATTTAATTTCTTTAAATAGGAGCAAGATTTTTACACTGTGGAACTGGAAAGAGGAGCCAAGGGATTTGGCTTTAGCCTTCGAGGAGGCCGAGAGTATAACATGGACCTCTATGTTCTGCGCTTAGCAGAGGATGGTCCTGCAGAGAGGTGTGGAAAGATGAGGGTAAGTGGAGAGAGGAGTCTGGGGTAGGTGCAAATAAACCATCTGCAGTGAATTCTTGTCATATATTGTTAGAATGTTAATGTTCATAAGAATTACATTTTCTGTGGCTTTCATGATTCTCTTAAATGCATGACTCCTACCCTACCAAATATTTCTCCCTAAAGCACAATTATAGCTGCTAAAGTTAGGCGAACACTTCCAACTCTTGGGGTTGATATAGGGAATAAGGGATTTAAATTACTTATAAACATATTAAAGTAGGTATTTTTCAGAGCCTATTTCTATAGTTCTTGTGCTTAATGTCATGGGGCAGGCACATCACTTGACAGGAATTCTGGGGTACCCTGGGATGCTTAGAGAGCAGGAAAGTCATGTGGCCCTGTAGATTCTGGGCAGTGAGGTCTACTCATCCTCTAGCTGGCTACCAGTGGTCTTACCTTAGGCTTAGAGAGAGCAAGTCTACTCTCTGTCTTAGCAAAGAGCCAGGGCTCTGTGGCATGAATATTCAGAGTTGCTCTGTAGTAAGAGCTACAAATTTTAAATACATAAATGCCAAAAGTCCACTCTGCTCTGTTTCACTAATATCTGTTACTGTAGATGAATGTGCTGTTCTCCTGGGCAGATTAGATAATTAAGAAAACATAAATCATCTACTCATAGATAGGTCACATAGGTTGGGACTTGCCCATGGAGAGCCATTTACAACAAATTAAAAGAAATCAAGACAGTCAGGCCAGGAAAGGAAAAAAAGTGAATGCAGTTGAGCCTCAGCAGAAAAAGGGAAAAACTGATTAAGGATGAGGATCATAACACTTGAACTGAAGCCACAATCTTGATGTTTAAGTTTCTTCAGAGTGAATTTTTTAACATTTAAAATTGAGACGGTAGAGCATGAATGTATTTTACGAAAATGGTATGTAGTAAAAATATAGTGTCCAGGGTCAAACAGTATACCAGTTTCTCTCATATCCTTTTTTTTTTGGCATGTACATATACAAGGGAAGATACAGTGTGGTATATATTTCTTTTGTTTGAATTTCAGACATAAGGAATTTATTTTCCCTTGCCTTTTAATCACTTAAAAATGTTTTTGATCAAGTGAAATATTATTATGCTATTTTGTATAATGGCGTATAGTTTACAAGACAGGTTTACATGTATTACCTGATTTGATGCCAGCAGCTTAGTGGGCATGGGTGGTGTTACGAGCCTTTTCTACAAGTAAGAAAGTAAACTCCAGAAAGTTAAGTACTGGGAGCAAATCAGTTACCAAATGATAGGATTCAAATTAAAGACTGTAGACTTGAAAGCCAGTGCTATTTCTCTTCTTTTTAGAACATAAGCTCTATTTGAGTGGGGATCTGCCCTGTCTTATTTATTCTTTAATTCCAGTGCCTAGAACAGTGACTGACACAAAGTGAATGCTGCATTCAGTGTATCAGTTGGGATTATGGTCTCATCTGAAGTCTCACCTGGGGAAGGGTTTGCTTTTTAAACTCACTCACGTGGTTGTTACCAGGATTCAGTGCCTTTAAGGCAGTCCCTCATTTCATTATCATGGAACTCCAGAGGATGGCTCATAACATGCATCAGGGCAAACAAGTGAGAGAAGAAAAGAGAGCAAGTAAGACAGATGACAAAATCATTTTATGACCTAATCTTTGAACTGATACCATGTTTGCTATATTCTGTTTATTAGAAGCAAGTCACTTGATCCAGCTTACATTCAAAGGCAGGGGGATATTACACAGATTGTGAATGCACAGAGGCAGAAATCATGGGAGCCTTCCTAAAAGCTCCCTCCCCAACCACTAACATGCCCTTACTGCTTTTTTTTTTCCCCTTTATCATGTAATTCGGCATACATGTAGTTTTCTAATTGTCTTAATTGTCTTTCCCTCTTTAGAATATAATCTCCATGAGGGCAGGGATTTCTGTTTTTGTCACTACCACATCCAAAGCAATAGATGTTCTGCCACATGCTCAATAAATATTTGGTGAATCCATACATGAATTTTAAATCTCACCTAGTTTTCTTTTGCTCTGACAGATTGGTGATGAAATTTTAGAGATCAATGGTGAGACCACCAAAAACATGAAGCATTCTCGAGCTATAGAACTGATTAAGAATGGTGGCCGCAGAGTTCGTCTGTTTCTGAAGCGGGGAGACGGCTCAGTACCAGAATATGGTGGGTCAAACTATGAAAACATTCCTTCCTTCCCTGGCATGACTCCATGAATTTGTCTCCAGAACGGCAGCAGGAAAGTCTTTTTTGTTTCCCCTATTCACCAGTGTCTTACCAGCCTCTCGCACCATGTGATTATTTGCCTCGCTTGTTCTGAAATCTCTACACATTTCATCCTTTTGCTTGCTTATGTGGACTGGGGCATGGCCTAAGACAAGATCTTTATAGCCCCCTTTCTGATAATCAGAGAGAACATTTTGTCTAGTCCGACCGAGAGCGAAGGAATGTTTGTTTGAACTGTGCCAAACTGTTCCTCAGATCCAATTGTTAGCACAAAATGACTATATACTCCTTTTAAGAAGCAGGAAAGCAGGTTTCCTGAGTGATATGTTGAGGCACAATTATTTTTTCCTTTTTGGTTACTTGGTGTCTTTATTTAAGAGGCATGAAATTTTGAGAGATTTGGGGGCTTTGCTCACCTCCTTTATGCTCTGTATACAACACTTCTCCATCCCCCAACTGGTCTCTTACCCCAAATCAGACCATCTGAGCCCACTACTATCAAACAAACAAAAACTGTTAATATATTAGCCATAATGTTTTTAAATGATAAAGGATGAAATAAATTCCCAGTGCTCATCATGAGGGAAACATGTGATTATACCTTTCCTATGAGGAAAGCCAGGTTATACATAGAGTTCCTTTGTCATATCTTTAGACTTGATTTGAGTAGACAGTAATGATCTTTACATAGCTTAGTGTTCTGATGGCAAAATATTGTATATGATAATAATTATGTCCTATTTATTTGAGATTTGTGTTTAAAATTAAAAAAAAAAAAAAAAAAAAGAAGCTATGCCCTAGATGTAGGGCTTTTTTTCCCAACCAAAGGTCTACAAAAGTTTCTATAGAAACTGTGATTGAATGGTCCCCATATACGTTGGTCCCCTTTATTAGGGATTTATCTATTATCACCCTCTTTTCTGAAAGTCATTCTGCACAATTCTCAGTTGCATTTTGGACTTGATGATATGTTTAATTCAGATGCAGCTCAAGGAGAAGGATAGCTCTTTGGAGGGCCAGCCTTCCCAGGTGTTGGACATTTGTACAGGTGCAAAATACGAGGGGTCCGAGGTACAGGGGGAGGGTGGGTATTAGACAAGGCCCCTATAGACATGGCCAACCACAGGGGAAGTATTTTGACAACATTAAGATGCTGTGGCTGTGCACTGTACTAAACTTCTGACCATTAGGTGTGTTGATACCACTGAAACTGTGTAACATTGTCTCCCTTTTCTGTCTTCCCTATGCTTCTGTTGGATGTGATATTTCATTTGAGAGTCATCGTCAGTAACCTGTGTACCTTCTCAAAACCTATGTCTGTTGCACTGAGGATGAAAATCCAACACTAACAAATGTTCTTTGGGCTAAAAATAAAGATCATTGAAATACATGGTTTTCCAAGAAGGGTTGAACCTGCCAGGGTTGTGCTACTGTAATGTCTCCATGCGTCACTTGGACTAAATCTCTCTAATTCCATTGATTAGAGTCACAAATGGGTTATAATATGTTAAGTTCCAATATTTTTCTGACCTGATTGGAACCTGCTTCTCTGTGAGGCTATTTTTGTAATGAGTTTTTTGTACTTAATTTAACTGCCGCGGTCTTTGGTGGGGGTGGGAAGGGATTTTGTTCTTTTGTTGTTTATTGTTAATGCTCTCCTATGCCAGTCTGTCATTGTTCCAGTTGTTTGAAAAAAACAAAACAAAAAAGGATGCATTCATTGTCTGGGTTCTCGAGTCACCTTATGGCTGTCTGAAAATGTCACTGTTCCGATTGCGGTCTCTGCAGCCTTATTTGAGTGTTGCCTTAGACTGTCTGACTGGACAAATAAACTCTCTTTGCCCTATGTTAACAAATGCAGATTTTTTTTTCTTTCCTCTGTGTTATAGGGAATCTAAATGTTCAACTTTTTCTCTTTCTCTCTTTCTCTTTCTCTCTGACTGTTCTTGGTGCTGGGCCCTCCCTTCCACAGCGATGATACCTCCTAATATCGCTGCATGTATGAGAAATGAAAAGCTCGGGGAGGCTTGCTTCTACCTTATGGGCCATAATCAAACTACGGTTTGTAGCTCAATCAATACTAGGTGTTTCTGTGCTGTGGCCTAATTTCCTCATTGCTTCTGCTTAGCTCTGTTTTGATATGTTTGGCAATTCATTCTGAGCACCCTGCGTTCTTTGAATTGTAAGTACAATGCTGACCCTGTTGAAGTGTTGCCCTCCCTTGTCTTAAAAGTAGGCATAAGAATCCAGTGGTGATCCAAGTACCTTCATGTATCCAAGTCTTCAAATGACCTTTGTTAAGAACCTGTTTTTTGCTCATTCTTGTAGCCAACCCAGCATTTAGAAAGAATGAACTTTGTATCATGGAGCCCTGTATCATAGGGCTTTGCTAGATGGGAAGATGAGATTTCCTGCTTGGTCAGGTATCTCTTAGCAAACTACAGTCCCTGGGCCCCATCCTGTCCATAGCCTGTTTTTGTAAGTAAAGTTTTATTGACACATAGCCACGCCCATTACTTTTGTGTTGCCTGTGTTTTTATACTACAGTGGCAGAGCTGAATAGTTGTAACAGAGATGGTGCGGCCCAAAACACCCAAATTATTTACTATTGCCCTTTAGAAAAAGTTGGCTGACCCCTGCTTTTGGCTTTTCACTTGCTTTTGTTAAAAACCCACTCTAGGTTTTGGGAAGTTGTCATAAAACAGGTTAATTGCTAAATATTGACCTTGTTGGCTCATGAAAGATCCTTAAAGAGCCCCAGTGACCCCTTAGTCTCTGACTGTCATACGAGTCTGCCCTCCAGACTGCAGCACCTTGTTTCAGGCGCTTTGCTTGGAATGGTGTCATGTGGATGACTTGTTGGGTTTAGTTGCAACAAAGCATCCCAGCTTTGAAAAGAGCTCTCCTCAATTCAGGACACTGCCTAAAACATTTGCACTGTCATTTCAAATATTGAATAATGATAAATAGGGGCCATTATGGGCTGCCCTGCTTTTAAACATATAGAAACCTTGATGTTATAGGAAGCAGCCCAGTGACTCCAAGCTCTTAGATGTCATTATGACTACCTCCCATATCATAAAGAAAAAGTGCCTCTAAACTGAAAATTTTATCTGACCTCCATCCAATCTCAAATGTGTACCTAGCAACTTCTCTTCCCCTCCCTTTTATTCTCTTCCCCTCCCTTTTATCTATCAGAAAACACCTTTTAAAAACAATTCCTTATTTTTTAATGTATGCAAAAGTAGAGAAAGTAGTTGAATAATACAGATAGAACAGTTTAATGGGCCTTTGTGTACATATCCCATTTGCTAGTCATCAACATCTGACCAGCATGTTGCCTCTGTAATCCCCTTTGCCTGCTAGGTAGCCTGGATTTTTTTTAAATAGAAGTATACTTTTGCATATGGTAAAATGCATAAATCCTGAGTATACAGTGCAGTAGATTTTTTCACTTCTGTATGCACCCATTTAATCACCACCCAGATAAGATGTAGATGATTCCTGCCCTACTCCAGAAAGCTTCCCAGGTGCCCCTTCAGATCAATACCCTAAATTATTTTTAAGTAAATCAAAACAAGTATTCTTTAAAGCAAAGAATATTTTCTTGGGGGTGGGAAAGGGGTGGGCGCAGGGGAGAAGGGTTGGGGGTGGGAAAGGAAGAGCAAGGGATAGCTACAGAGGAAATTTTGATGCCTCTAGACAGACTATTTGGATTGTGCCTTTAAAGACTCAAATCATGACTGATTTTTGTCAGTTCTTTAATGATCTATGTCTCGGGTATGGAGAACATTCAGTCAGCTAGACGTTGAAAGCTACAAGTACTAGTTTTTTAACCCTAACTACGTGCAGTTATCCTTAAATTAACAAGATTCAGTTGGCTTTGAGTCTGACTGCTTTAACAGTTGTTTGCTTGTTGTGACTAATGAGGTCTCGAGTGTGGGTGGGAGCGGGGACAGGAGCCAAGGGACCCTCGTACCCAACTGTTGCTCTCGTTTATTTTCCTGGCAGACCCCAGCAGCGACCGCCACGGCCCCCCAACCGGTCCACAAGGTGTTCCGGAAGTGAGGGCCGGGCCCGACCGCCGGCAGCATCCGTCATTGGAGTCCAGTTACCCACCCGATCTTCACAAATCATCACCACATGGGGAAAAGCGGGCACACGCAAGGGATCCGAAAGGCAGCAGAGAGTATAGCAGACAACCCAATGAACACCACACCTGGAATGGGACTTCGAGGAAACCCGACAGCGGGGCATGCCGACCCAAGGACCGGGCGCCGGAGGGACGGAGGGACGCGCAGGCCGAGCGCACGGCAGCCGCCAACGGCCCCAAGAGGCGGTCCCCAGAGAAGCGGAGGGAGGGCACCCGCAGCGCCGACAACACTTTGGAGAGGAGGGAGAAGCACGAGAAGAGACGAGACGTCTCTCCGGAGCGGAGGCGAGAGCGGTCACCCACCCGCAGGAGAGACGGCTCCCCCAGCCGGCGGAGACGGTCTCTGGAGAGACTCCTGGAGCAAAGGAGGTCCCCCGAGCGCAGGAGAGGGGGCTCGCCCGAGCGCAGGGCCAAGTCCACCGACCGGAGGCGCGCGCGCTCCCCCGAGCGCAGGAGAGAGCGGTCCCTGGACAAAAGGAATAGAGAGGAGAGAGCCAGCCACCGAGAAAGGGAAGAGGGGAATCTGAAACAGGATGCCGGCAGAAGTTCCAGACATCCCACGGAGCAGAGAAGGCGAGCTTACAAAGAATGTAGCACCGACCTCAGTATCTGAGACGCTGAGTCACATTCCAACCTTTACCGTGTCAAAGGTTCTAAGAGGAAAGTCACAAACGTGAAATTATTTAGTTTCTTACCTAATGAAGCATCTGACACCTGATGATCCTATGAATAACAACAAACATTTTATGCATTTGAAATCTTATAAGAAAAATATATATGAAAAGTATTGTGCCTGATGTATCATATTAAAGAAAGTATTTTTAAATGCATACTTTTTTGGAAATTATTTGCCAAATGCTGGCCCAAAGGGGTATAAATTTTGTTTCTACGTAACCTGTAGAATCGTCAAGAATTGTTCCCGTTTTTGAGCAATCTTTTTCTCTCCTGGTTAAATGGGGCTGTTGATCATTTTCTCTAAGTAAGGGAATTTATTGATTAAGTTTAATTAATTTGATATAGACTGTTATGTAGTGATATAGTGCTATACTGTAGTCGGCAGTTTTTCTTAAAAGCAAAGAACAAAAAGGCAAAGTTTTATTTGTAAAAGCTGAGGACCCTTTGGGATGGATTATGTTTGCCGATCCTAAAAGTAAGCAAACTGTATGACAAGACTACTATTGCAAATGAAGGATATTTATAGCTAAACTGCGTAGCACAAAGACGTTTTATATTGTGAGTTATAGTTGGTTCAGAAAACAGTTTGTAATCTCCCTGGCCCAGGAAGGCACAGAGACAAAAATGTCGGCCATCTTTACCCAAATACAACCCAAGCACAGATAGTCAGGTTCATGAGCATCTCCAGCATCTAATTAAATCTCATTGAAGGCAATGCCATCACAGCTTTGCTCAGTTACTGCAAGGAACAGACAACAAGCTTTTTTCATGTTGTCTTGTCTGATCGGAGGCTGAATAGTAGATGGAACGGGGGACAGTGTGCCTGGTGTGAGGAAGACGTAAGATCCCCAATTTGGAAAGCATGCCCCTCCCCCTTTTAGTATAAGCCCATAGTTGCCCTTAGCCAAATTGGGGAGGAGGGAATGAGCCTTGGTGGAAGGAACCGCTCTGTTGATATTTAAAGAAGTGAGGGCTGTGGGTATTCATAGAAATCCCAATTTCACTTTGAAACCATAGTCCAAGTCTCTAGGTTGGTAGAAGAGAAAGGAAGGAAGTGGTCCCAGTGGTTCTAGATCTGGTTGGGAAACTTCTGCCTCATGACTCTGTCCTTTGAGTCCTTTGGACAGCAGCACAAAACATAACAATTTTTATTTTTAGACAGACCCATTCTTTTTGACCCCACAGGAGCTGTGGTTGGGTCGGCTGTAGCCCCGGGATGTGGTTTAAGTGGATTACTGCCTAGCTGAGCCAAAATGTTTGCTTGTACCTGTTGGACCACTACAGCAAACCGCTGCTTACAGTGCATTGTGTATTTCCGTAGTACTGTTTTGCATTTTCCATACAGACACAAAACTTTGCAAGTCAATCACTGTTGTTCCCATGGTACTGTAAGGAAAAAAAAAAAAGGAAAAAGAAAAAAAAAAAAAGAAAACCAGCCAATCATTGCGTGTACAGAGCTGAAAATTGTAATTAATAGAGCCTGTTGGGAAAAAAAACAGCTGTTGCCTTTTTTTCTTGTATAAAAGAGAATTTATGACAAAATTTAGCTGTGAGGAATGTGATATGTGTTTATATTTCTGAATATGGAATAAATTGATTCATGGGGATATATTTTAATGTAAACTAAATCAGGTATGTAAAGTTGTTTTAAAATGGGAGACTATATAAGTAATTCTCTAGAGCTTTAGTTGGTTTGAATATCATCATTTCCTCCATGATGAGCCTGCTTGTGAATTATTAAGCACTTGTTTGCATTCTCTGTTCTTCACTCATTTATTTCTTGCAGTGTGCTATGGACTTAATGCTCTTTCTGTATTGATGAAAAGCAGTATGTGGGCCAATCTTTTTATAAAACACTATGCATATATAAATATTACATTGTTCATAGCTTTATTTGACTTATGGGTTTATACATAACATTAGAATGAGTAGCTATAGTTGTGTGGACATTTATAAAACAAGTTCCTTTCCTGGAACAGACACAATATACATTCTGTAGCTAAAAAGGAGGGAAAAGTCTGTGAATGCTATTTTTATTATTAAAGTTTTCCATACAAAGCATACATTGAGCTGTAGTAAGGCTGAGGAAGAGTACAACTGAATAATGATGTTCTTTTTCATCAAGTTCCTAAGAGCCGACTTGGAGATTTTATTCCCAAGGCTCCACTGCTAGGATTCTTCTCACTAGTTCTAACAAAATCTGTGATGTTAAATGACTGATGCTCTCAATTGTGGTCCAGAGTTTTAAGTAAATGAAATCAAGGTAGATTTTGGGAATATATCCTGAAGTTAACATCTTGATGTCCTTCTTGTTGTAAGATGATTTTTGACATTTTAAAATCTATGTGCTACCCACCTGGGCTTATCTCAATCCGTGGACTTCTTGGTGTGGCAGTTTCTCCTGAATTCCACACATCAGATTTGTTTGGAAATATTGTACTGTACAGGGACTATGCGTTAAGCAGAAAGATATAGTTTTCTTTGAACTACTGTAACCTTAAATTGGAAACTGATTCTTGTGAGCCTACTTTCCTTAATCCCGCCCTCCCTCACTTAATGTAAATGTCTTGATGAGAGATGATGGATGAGTATTTTGTATGATGAAATCAAATGATTTAGGAATTTGTCTCCCTCCATTACACAGTTGATGCCTGAAAGAATGTTGGGGGGGGAGGACTCAACACCCTAATTGTATTTTTTAAGTTTCTTTTGTGAAAGATTTTTTAATGCATTTTTACTGTAAAAATACATGGAAATGTATGCATTCCACAACCACTATTGCTTCTGGATTGATATCTTCCTTGTCTCTATGTTGTCTCAAATGTATCAGGGTCAAGTAATCAATTGAGGGCCCCTGACTCCAACTTGATGAAATGCCATTGTGTTGAAAGAGCAGGACCTATGCCGTTGCAATAGCATAATGCCTTGCTACTCGAACGGTGGTCTGTGGACCAGCTGCCTCATCATCACCGAGGAGCTTGTTAGAAATGCAGAGTCTCAGCCCTACTCCAGACTTACTGAGTCAGAATGTGCATTTAATAAAATCCTCAGCTATGCTGTATGCACATGAAAGTTTAAACAGCACAACACAGTATAGCATAGAACCCTGGTAATAAAACAAACCCTGCCAAGCTAAGAGCTTCATCACTTCTGGTGTGATTCTTGGGCACATTCCTTAACCTCCTCTGAAGAGTCCGTTTCCTCATCTATAAAGGGACATACTTCACAGAGCTTAGAATAGATGCACATCTTTGGCAATTAGAAGAGTCCTCAGTAAATGACACAATTTTTTTTTTTTTTTTTTTTTTTTTTTTAATTGAGGAAGATTTCTGCATGACAGTGAGTACTCCTTTTCTCGTCCTGGCTTATTTTTCAAAGACAAAAAAATTTTTTTTTTTTTGAAACAGGGTCTCACTCTGTTGCCCAGGCTGGAGTGCAATGGCACGATCGCAGCTCACTGCAGCCTCAACCTCCCAGGTTCAAGTGATCTTCCCTGCTCAACCTCCCGAGTAACTGGGACTAGAGGGGCATGTCACCATGCCCAAATGATTTTTGGTATTTTTATAGAGATGGGGTTTTGCCCTTTTGCCCAGACTGGTCACAAACACCTGGGCTCAAGCAGTCTGCCCAACTCAGCCTCCCAAAGTGCTGGAATTACAGGCATGAGCCACTGTACCCATAAGAAAAAAAATTTTCTCCCTCTATTACAATGGGAAGGAAGGCCTTTTAATTATAAATAGTATGGTACATACTATTCAACAAAATACTGCACTTACCATTGCTGAGGAATATGAAACCAAAATGCTGTGCTGTGAAAACTGAGACAAAGTCATCTCTAAGTCCAACTTCAGGAGGTAGATATGTGTGTGGAATTAGACATACTCCCAAGTCACACTAGATACAAAAGTTAACCATTCTCAAGTGACCTAACATGCATGTGGGTGGATCGGGTAGTTTTGAATAACTTTGCAGTTTCCTTCACACAGTTTTTGGGTTGTTCCTTTCTAGGACTTAGTGTTTGGGGTTTTCCTCCAGAACCTAAGCTCCTGGGCATTCGAAAAGCATTTTGTTGAATAGTAGGCCTTCCTCCAATCCATCTCCTTTGCTGTATTTTGTTTTGTCACCAAGATGGTAATTATGAACTCTGCTCACTTCTCTAGTATCTCCTTTATTAAAGATGGCATCTCAAAGTGGTCCCTGGCTTAACCAACAGTTGAAGCTGTTTGTAAAGCCTTTATATCATGCAAGTTCTTGGCCTGCCATATATAGCCACACCAAATGTGCAGAGACTCAATTATGCCGTCAGGATTTTTCCAGCTGGTGAGCAGTCCGAGACCACCTGTGGTGGCCTGCATTCATTGTAAAAGGAAAAGCCCTTTCAAGTTCCTCCAGGTGATTTCTCCTATGAGGCAACACCATCAGCATCGTGGATTAAGTTTAGCACAGTAAGATCCAAGTACTTTGGCAATAGACATCATTAGAAGCTAATGTGAAGGGAAATGCCCTTTCCAACATAATTATTTGGGGTGTTTTTTGCAGGAGTGGATCTTCTGTGAAAAATTTTTGACTACTTCCTCCCACCCCCAAGTGATGTTTTTATGCATTGTGGTCATTGTTATTGTCAGGGACAAGAGGCGTGTGGCTTTACTTCTATTAGTGTAGATATTAGGTGTCCAATGGATCCAAAGCACAAGCTCTCTTTGCAAGTACATGTATTTAAGCAAAGTAGTGATAACTGTTGAATTATACAGTAAACACTCAAGTATTACACGCAACTGCTACCCTTGACTGCATCACCTTTCCACCTAACTGAAAAGTCTTTATTGTCATGTCCCTGGAGGGAATAAAGGCATGGTCTTCACAGCTGAGAGCTCTAAACACCACTCCATTAAGTACTGTACTTTATATTTATCCTAAATTCTCTTTGGTCTCATAAGATTGTAGAATTGAAGGGATAATAGCTCAGAAAGGCTGCTCATTCCTACATGTGTAATAGGCAAGGCTTGCAACTCTATTTCTCATTTTCTCAACACATTTATTGACGATCAGCTCTGTGCCAGGTACATGGTGGGGGCGAGAAATGCCTGGTTCCTGGTCTCAAGAGCTCGTAGTTGGTGGGGAGAAGACAAATGCTTGCAAACTGCATACCAAGCAGAAGCACAGGGTCCTCTGATAGCAACTAGTAGGAGATTTAGCCAGATTGAAGAGGTTATAATTCAACTGGGGCCAGAAGGAAGAGGAAACTAATCAGTGAAAGAAGGAACAAAGTGCAGGCTGAGCAAAAACGCCCTGGTGCGAGGGAGTGTGGCCTAGAAGGGAAAGGTTGCATTGTGAAGGGAATAAGGGTTGTGCCAGGCTGGCCTTGTTCCGGATTTTAGAGTTCAGAGTAACAGAAGACCATTGATGAGTTCTAACAGAGCCTCTGGTGAGCTGTGTTGTGTTCAGGGAGGGAGTGGTGACCAGCTCAGGTTTAAGTTTGAGAAAGATGCCTCATAGCACCATGGGAGAGCAGACTTGGAGAGAGGTGGAAAGAATCCAGTTAGGCACCGGAACTGTCCAGCAAAGCAACTGTTACCATGAAAACTCTCCTGTACCATGCAGTTCTCATAGTTCAGAAGTCCCCAAGCCCATGTTTACCTTCCTCTTACTAAAAGAGTTCATTTTCTTTCCAACCTAAATCCTTCAGCTTCTCTTCCCTATACCTTAATTAATACATGCAGAATACTTTGTACCCAATTTCTTCTGTTAGATAAGGTCCATCATTTACTATTCTACTGGGTTTTCTACAGGTTTACACATTCCCGCCTCACTAGCCTTTTTTTTCCAGATCCTTGTTTCAAACGTAATCTTATTTTCTTATTTTTTTTTTTTGAAGTTGACCGCATCTTTCTCAAGTTACAGAAGCCTGTCTATGTATTATCCATTCTTTGCTAGCCATTCCCCACTTTTGAGTGTGAAGAAAGGAACCACTCACTCCTGCGTTACCCCATTTTTAAAAGCAGTGTTTTTATTTACAAAACAAATGCATATTTACAATACGAATGCATATTTACAATAAAAGATTCAAGCATTTCAGGAAAGTATAAAAAGTGACATTCTTCCCTACACCTGTCAATCCCAATCCACAGAAATAACTGTTATTAGCAGCTTGATTTGTGACATTTCTAGTCTTTTTCTACGTGTGTGTGTGTGTGCGCGTGTGTGTGTATATATATATAACTGTATGGGTATGTGTATGTATATATAGTTTTTATGGAAAAATGGGCCATTAGCCTTTACTATGTTATGAACTGTTCCTTTATCTTACATATTGTGGATATTTCTTCAAGTTAGGAGTATGTATGTATATATAGATATACACACACACATTAAAATAAAGCCTCTTATACCTCACTCATTCCCATTCTCTGTCCTTCTCTCTCCTCAACTCTTGGATTAGCTTCCTCACGGTTCTCTGCCTTTTGCCTATGCCACCTACCGATTCCTCTCCCTGTAGCAGGCAGAGCTCCTCTCTTAAAATGTCAGGTGAAAGGTTAAAGTCCTTAGAGTAGGCTCTGAGGTCCTCTGGGATGGGGGACCTCTTTTCCTCTCTGGCATACTCCCAGCCTTAGGGGCTTTGCTCTAGCTGATCCACCGCCTGGGACTGCTCTTTCCCGAGATATCCATGGCTGACTCCCTCTCTTTTTTCAAATCCTTGCTCAATTGTCATTCTTCACATGCATCCTACCCTGATCACCCTATTGAAAATTGCAAGTTGGTTCCCGCATTCTACTCTTTTCCCCACTGTGGCACTCAACAGCTTCTAACATGCTGTGTAATCTACGTGATTACTCATGGTCTTTTTTTTTTTTTTTTTGAGGTGGAGTTTCACTCTTGTTGCCCAGGCTGGAGTGCAGTGGCACAAACTCAGCTCACCGCAACCTCCGCCTCCCAGGTTCAAGCGATTTTCCTGCCTCAGCCTCCCGAGTAGCTGGGATTACAGGCATGCGCCACCACACCCGGCTAATTTTGTATTTGTAGTAGAGTCGGGGTTTCTCCATGTTGGTCAGGCTGGTTTTTAATTCCCGACCTTATGTGATCTGCCTGCTCAGCCTCCCAAGGTCTCTATTGTTTATCACCTGTCTCCTCTATAATCAGGACCAGCTTTGTGGACATGCAACCTGTGCAGTCACATAGGGCCTTGCACTTAGAAGGGCCCTTTGCTTGATTTAATGCTCTGCTCTCGTGGTCTTGAATTTTCAGTAATTTTTGAATAAAGACCCCCTACATTTTCAATTTGCACTAAGTCTTACCAGTTATGTAGCTGGCCTTTTCTAGAATAAGTTTCTTCATTAAGTTTCACGAGGGCAAGAATCTTTGTTCTGAATCTGATGAATTCCAAGGTCCTGGAGTAGCGCCCAGTACATAGTTTGTATACTCAGTAAACAAAAGTATTGTGCTGTCTCTAAATAGCTGCATATTCTAAAGTTGACCACAATTTACTTAACCAATCCCCTATGGACATGCAGTTGTTATTATAAAAACACGCTGCAGTGAACAACTTTATACTTTAAAACCTGGTACCGTTAAGTGGTTTGTTTAAATAGTTTTGAAGGGATAAATTGTGACTCCTAATCCTTCTTTGTTTCTGGTGACACCAATGTTACTGAGAATTTGCATTCTTTTATTGGGAGCAGCTGTTTTTAGCAAAGTGCTTGCAGTCTGTGGGACCTTTTCCCATCAGATGAGAGTTACCAGGCTCAGCAGAGCCGCTAAACCAATGGTTTGTACCTTGGG